CTAATGTATACTTCTTGCATATTCTAATGTTTGAAGTAATATGATTCAAAAAAGTATGGAATAAAAATTCGGTACTTACGTAATAACGCCACCGCAACTACAGATTTGGCGGTTTTTAAGTGCCACCGATCTACACCAAAATTTTTGAGACAAATCATAAAATAAAACACTTTGTTTAAAATCAAAGTAGTTTATCGGATTTCGGTGGACAATGGACAAAATATTTCGCTCCTGAAAAAATAAAATTGCATCTTGTTCTATTTTTGGCAAATCCCAAAGACGCATTTTCGTAGCACTAAAAAATGGTAACAAAAATCGAATAACAAATCATTTTGGAATTCTTCTGATTTATAAAGCAGGTAAGTGTTAATTTTTATAAAATGAAAAATTTTACTTTTAATAAATTTTTTTCTCATTTGATGATAGTTTTCTATAGAATGGTTTTCTGCATGAATCAAAAAAGAAAAAACATGAAAGTTGTTTATTTTAATGTAAGGAATTTTTAGAATCGGTTCTTTCTTTTTTGCTTTGTATCGTAAGCATTCTTTATTTTACGGTTTTTAGCTTCTAAATAATGATTTTTATTAAAACTTAAAATTTTTTGATGAAAATTGTTGTTAAAAAGCTTTCTTTACAAAATTAAATTATATAAATTTATGAAGCTTATGTATACTTTTTGCTTATCTTAATGTTTGAAGCAATGTGATTCTTAAAACTATGGAATGTAAAGTTCAAATAGGTCTTTCAGGTTATATCATTAAATTTAATAAAACTATTTCTCAGGCATTAGGTTAAACTCTAATAAGAAGACACATATTTTTTTCTGTTTATTTGCTAATATTTTTCAGATGTGTTTTGGATGTTCCTTCTTTAAAAAAAAGAGATACTCTCTTGTTTTCGGTTGCATAAGAAAGGATATCAAGCATTTTTCTTTTTTAAATTTAATAAGCCACAATAAAGAAGGAACGTTACAATGTTACATGCTACATTAAAGACGGCTCCAGAGTAACTGAATGACTGTTCACATAGAAATCGCAGGTATTAGTCTCATACAACAACGCCCCCTATAGTTCGTTGCGATCGCGAATTCTGAATAAATAAGATCTTTACCGATGAATTTTTGATTTTTGATCCACAAAATTAGCGGGGGGGGGGGCTATGGTCTATAAGCAAATATAGTGTTTAGCTTTATTTATTCCAAGGGTAATCTTTTTGATCACAATTTTCTTCAGTATTGTTCCCATATAGCACTTTATACATTTTCGGAATTTCCTATTTTAGATTGCAAAAAACAGACATTAAAACGAATTAATTCTGAATAAATAAGATCTTTCCCGATGAATTTTTGATTTTTGATCCACAAATTAGCGGAGGGGGGTTTTGGTCTATAAGCAATATAGTGTTTAGCTTCATTTACTCCAAGGGTAATTTTTTTCATCATAATTTTCTTTAGTATTGTTCCCATATAGCACTTTATACATTTTCGGAATTTCCTATTTTAGATTACAAAAAACAGACATTAGAACGAATTAATTCTGAATAAATAAGATCTTTCCCGATGAATTTTGGTTTTTGATCCACAAAATTAGCGGAGGGGGGTTATGGTCTATAAACAATATAGTGTTTAGCTTCATTTATTCCAAGGGTAGTTTTTTTCATCACAATTTTCTTTAGTATTGTTCCATATAGCACTTCATACATTTTTGGAATTTCCTAATTTAGATTACAAAAAACAGACATTAAAACGAATTAATTCTGAATAAATAAGATCTTTCTCGATGAATTTCTGATTTATTTATTCCAAGCTTTATTTATTCCAAGGGTAGTTTTTTTCGTCACTATTTAATTTAGTATTGTTCCCATATAGCACTTTATACAGTTTCGGAATTTCCTATGAATGGCAGAATAATTCACAGAAATAACTTATTGCCTTACATTGAAATCGCTGTATTTTGTTCTACCAAACAGGCTTTCTTCAGAATGATTTGAAAATATGACTTATCATTTTATTGTCTTATAGTTTTTATACGTCTAATTACGCGAGGCATGTGCCTTAGGCGAACTCCAACTTAATATCTTTAATTTTGATTTAAATTGTTAAAAAGTATGTTTTCAAATTGAAATTTTATAACACACGAAGACGATAATCTTTTATAGGGCCATTGATTGGATATGCTGAGCAAATATTAGGCACTAAATGGATCATTACCATTGGAAGTATTATGGCCACTTTAGGCATAGGAGGATGTTTCTTTGCTGAAGATATATTGGTTATCACACTTTTGTGGGGAGTGGTACTAGGTAAGATAATTGAAAAAACTATTAATGCATCAACATTTATCGGGTGTTCAATAAAAGATCGATGAATTGAAAACTCAACTAAAGAAAATTGGAAGGAAATAGAAATGTAAAATTTATGTTTTCTTCTTTTTTTGCTTAGGACATAAGGTTTATTTGAGTGAATTTTCAAAGGTAATTACACAGTTTGTCAACAGATAACGCTTGCAACAGATCGTTTTGCGACATATCAGACCATTCCAATTAAGATATTTGCACCGGTATCTGTTAATTTTGTCCTCAAACTGGGCCACGTGTGTGCTGTATATGATGGTTACTTGGGAAAAAAATGTTTAATGGTTTTTTAAGAGTTAACATTCATCTGTTGACGAACTTTGTAACTTAGTTTGAAATTTGTTATAAATGAAGTTTCTAGTTTTCTAAGAAGAACGTTGCAAGCCGTCTATCTTTATCTTGTCGTTTATTGATCGTTTTTTTAAAAATTTGATTTTCAAAATCATCGGCCATTTTTCGAATACTTGATATCGTTTAATATAGGGTTATCAATGATAGGCAGGCGCAAAATTAATCCACGATAAAATCTAAACTAAAGGAAAAGAAAAAACTTTCTGGGTTTTTCGTATTGTATTGAGATCTATTCTTCTTCTTCCGATCTGGTGGCCGAGTGGTTAGCGTGCTTGACTGCGGAGCCGCTGGTGGCGGGTTCGAATCCTGCTCAGGGCATGAGTGTTTCTTTCTCTCTGTGTTCTACGTCCTTTCTCCTGTGTGTGTGTGATTGTGTGAGTGTGACCCGCCCTATAAACGGGTTTGTGGTTGTATGACATGGGCGACGCTGCTCCACCGCCGTGACTTCGCCTCAGGTGCCCACTGGGTAACGAGAAGAGAGTAGCAGTTCTGGCATTCCTATGGCTAATGGGACAACACCCAAGTGCCCGCCATTAAAAAAAAAATATTCTTCTTTAAACAACATAGAACGGCAGGTTTTGTAAATAAAAGTATATAATAAAAATAAAAACTTGTTAGTTTAAAAACAAAAAACATGAGTATGAACGGTTAAAAGAATAAAATTAAAAAAATAATAATAATATAATATTTTATTATGAACATACTAAAATGGAGAAATTAATTTTTAGACAAAAATTATTAATTTTAAAAATTAATCTAATAAAGAGGTTAAAATCTTTGTTTTTGTCTCAAAACTTTTGATTAAAATACTACTTTTATGTTGTCTTTAGTAGGTGTGGAAAAATATTTTTCTTGTCATTTTGATTTTTAATTTTTTAGGCTTTCATACTGTTTCAACCTATTCAATATATGTAAATCGTGAAAATTATATAATTTCGATATTCAGCTCGTAACGTATTTTTAAAATCGTCTGAAACTATAAATATGTTAATTAACATAGCTAATTTTTTTATTTTTAGTGAAACATTATTTTTTCTGAAACGAAACATATTCCAATAAAAAAAATATGAAATTCCTTTCGTTATATTATAAAAAAAAATTGCACTTAATTCGACGATAGTATGACAGTCCATTTTTAATTTTAGAGGCCAAAAAATTTGAATTAAATTCGAGTAGTAATGAAGACAAAACCCGTTCATTATTAAAAAAAAAGTTTCGATTGGGATTTTTAGATGAAAGAATCAATTTCATTTTTAATAAAAACAAACTAAAACTTCCTTGTCTCTTTTCTAGGACTCAGCTATGGATTTGCGCACAATATGCAAGCCTCACTTTTAAATCAACATTTTAAAAATGGAAAAAGTAAAGCCAACGGTTTCGTTTTATCAGGTAGTTGCATTGGAGGAGCTTTGTTGCCAGCATTGACATCAGCTTGTATACAGTCTTATGGAACTTCAGGTTCTTTCCTTGTTTTATCAGCAATTATAGCTCACACCATACCAGCCAGCCTTTTAGTACACTACTCAAAAATTACACCATTATGTAACATTCAAAATGAGAGTGGAATCATTGGGAATAAAAATGATAAAAACAGTCCTGAAATCTCGAACCTTTCAGATAATTATAGTATGAATAGTACACATACAAAACAACCGAAACAAGTAAAAAATATATCGTCTACAGGTTTGTTTATTTCCAATTCATTGCAAAACAGTAAAGAAAACGTGATAAATCGTGAAAGCGCATCATCTGCTGATGATTCATATTTTTCAAACAAACTACATAAAGAGCGAAATGAAAATGTAAAAGAAATTGGATTTGTGCTACATAAGGAGCAAAACGAAAATGTAAAAGAAGCTGGATTTGGGTTGCATAAGGAGCAATTTGAAAATGTAAAAGAGACTAGATTGGTGGTACATGAAAACGAAAATGCAAATGAAACTGGATTTGTGTTGCATGAGGAGCAATTTGAAAATGTAAAAGAGACTGGATTTGTGTTACAAAAAAACGAAAATGTAAATGAAACTGGATTTGGGTTGCATGAGGAGCAATTTGAAAATGTAAAAGAGACTGGATTTGTGTTACATAAAAACGAAAATGTAAATGAAACTGGATCTGGGTTGCATGAGGAGCAATTTGAAAACGTAAAAGAGACTGGATTTGTGTTACATGAAAACGGAAGTGTAAATGAAACTGGATTTGGGTTGCATAAAGAGCAATTTGTAAATGTAAAAGAGACTGGATTTGTGTTACAAAATGAGAAACATGAATTTGCAATTACAAAAAAAGAAAGTGAAAATGGGCATAAAACTATTTTTAACAAAAGCAAATTTACCCTTCGTTATTTCCGAATATTTATAGATCCCCCTTTTATAGCTGTTCTCTTTACTAATGGAATAAATACTGTAATAATAACAGCAATTTGGACAATAATTTTGGATTTTATTCGTGACAAAGATGTTCCAACGAATTTAGAAATATATTATGTAATAATTCTTTCCATAGCTGACTGTTTTGGGCGAGCCGCTTCAGGATATTTTCTAGATAAAAGAACATTAACTTTAGCAAATTTTTGTTTAATAACTTTTATTGTAGAAGCAGCGACACTTGTAGTTATCGTCTATATAAATAACTATATATTGGTTATGGTTTGCGAAATACTTATAGCAACATGCATTGGAATAACAGTTCTTCTGGAGATAGCGTTGACACATGAATTTGTAGAACAGAATTCTAGAAAAATGGCGATGAGTTGTAGATTAATACTTTATGGCCCTCTCAGCTTTACAATATCACCGATGATAGGTAAGTTATTAGGTATCCTTAGATTTATGATTAACAAAGTTACTTTAAACATTGAAATGAGAATCTTTTACTCATATTCATTGATCATTTCAAGCATTTAAAAAATGATAATGGGTTGTAGAATTCTAGAAAAAATAGCAATGAGTTGTAAATTAGTGCCTTATGGCCCTCTNTCTTGAATAATTTTTCCTACCTTTACAAACCGGACCTATGCTTAAAGTAAAGCCTACATTACCTGGCAAGGTTGATTCATCAACTTAAAAGGAAAATTCGTTGGATATCAAAAGTTTGCATACGGAAACTTCAACGTCTTCAGCCATCTTTATAGATTGACGATTTACTAGGTTACTTTAAAGTGATTTCTAGAAAAATGTCTATGAGTAGTAGATTAAAGCTTTGTAGCCCTCTTAGTTTTACAATATCATCTATGATAAATAAGTTATTAGGTATTTATAGATTGACGATTTACTAAGTTACTTTAAAGTGATCGCTAGAAAAATGTCTATGAATAGTAGATTAAAGCTTTATAGCCCTTTTAGTTTTACAATATCATTTATGATAAGTAAGTTATTAGGTATTTATAGATTGACGATTTACTAGGTTACTTTAAAGTGATTTCTAGAAAAATGTCTATGAGTAGTAGATTAAAGCTTTATGGCCCTCTTAGCTTTACAATATCACCTATGATAAGTAAGTTATTAGGTATTTATAGATTGACGATTTACTAAGTTACTTTAAAGTGATTGCTAGAAAATTTGCTATGAATTGTAAATTAATGCCTTATTAGTTTTACAATATCATCCATGATAGGTAAGTTATTAAGTGTTTATAGATTTACGAGTGATAAAGTTACTTTAAACTTTTTCTACAACGAACAAATTTCGTTATTTCTTTTTTGATATTCATTAGATTCATGAATATATTTTTATTTAAAATATTTAATACTTTGCTTCTCTTTATTCTAGGTTATTTTAGAGGTGGTTATGGCTCATACGATAATGTATTCTATATTCTAAGTGCAGCATCTCTTCTTTGTGGACTTATATCTTATCTTCTTCCCCGTCTAGCAAAAAGAAAACAATCATTACCACCTGATATTTCTTAATATCCGCAAAGAACTTCCACATGCCTCGATTATGTGAAGAAAAAAAGAAGTTATTAGAAGATTTCAAACTCTTCGAGTAAAACTCGTGGTGTGCAAGTATTTGGAGTGATAGCAAATGTTACATAAACGTTTTTATTTCCTCTCTAAAACATAGACATATCTAGTTTAATGCAACCTATACTAAGTTTTCTTAACATGCAACCTACAATTAAATATGCAACTAACAACTAAATATGCAACATGCAACCTATACTAATCAACCAACAACTAAATTTGCGATCTACAATAAATGAAGGAAAAAAAACTCATATTTATTAACTTATATTTCTGAATTTTTATTTCTTCAAGCAATTGTAATTTCAGTTACTCGAAATTTGAATCCCAGGTATGGCAAATATGTTAATCCCACATTGACCATGTATTTTGATATGGTACACGTATTGAGATTTTGTAGCCCCGAACTCTTTTCATGGTTAGCTTGTTAGCTGGATGAATTAACGTAATCAGACGGTTATTGATGAGAAAAATAATAGAAGATTCAATATAATTTAAGAATATTCATAATATAATTAGTAGAATATTCATTTTAAAAACCCTCTACGAATTTAAATTTTTATAATTTAATTTGATTTTTTTATTTTTCTGTATTTAATATCTTGCATACATTTATTTATAGTATTTATTGTGCTTAACAAAACTTTTATTGTAACTTCAAAAACGATAATCTGGTGAAGGTCGACATTCGCATAGTTGCTCTGGTAAATTGTACCTTAAATTTCTTATTTTTCAGTATTTAGTATCTTGCATTCATTTATTTTTAGTATTTATTGACCTTCATTGAACTTTTACTGCAACTGCAAAATCGATAATCTGGCGAATGTCGGCATTCACATAATTGATTTTATGGTGGATTGCCAAAGTCAGCATTCAGCATACTCCGAAGCATACAAATTTTTTTATCAGCATGCAAATTTTTTTATGATTATTTCCCGCCTACAATTCTACTACCAATGTATTATTAAAATTTCCGGTACAAGTGAGGATATTTAAATAAAATATTTTATTCAACATTCATTTAATGGTAACCAAACAGAACGCACCTTCCTAATGTTTTCCAATTCTTTAACCCCTCCTCCTATTCCCACATTTTAACTAGTTTTATACAATAGATTATCCAACTAAAGTTTTTCATCGTCTAGCTCATAGATTCTCAACCTTTTTAACGTTGCCGCCCTCCTAAGGAGCTGAAAAAATTTCAACGCCCCCCTTCGTGAAAATCCAGTTATTTAGAGCATGGGGAAGGAGGGGTATGTGCTAAATTATAAGAGGCAACATTTTCTTAAGCGTTAAATTGGTTTGGGTTTTCTTTTTTTAAAGAAAAAAATTAATGTGCACGTTAACTTGATTCTTTTCTCCCAGCAGGTAACCACAGTCCATTTGTTATAATAAAAATAAATATGGCAATGATAAAAAAATAACGTATAGTTAAAAAGTGTCATATATTCTTAATTAGATGATTTAAAAAAAACTCCGCAAAATTTTTTTTTTACTCTAATATCAACGAAAAAAAAGTAACTGTGTTAGTGGAATAATTGTGCTTGATAGTTCAATCAAGCTTCTTAACGATCGGTTCAATATTTTTAGTGAGGTGAAGACGCAAGACCCCTCGTTTTCTCTTTTTTGGTAACTAGATCCGTCACAGCACTGAATCTTTGTTCGACAAGGTAGGAGGAAGGGAAGGCAGTTAAAAAAAATTTCAGGGTAGAGGCGAGTGATGTTACCTTGAAGCCAAACTTCTGTGAGATGATCACCATTTCAAAGGTTCATAAGTTGAAGGTTCGATCAATTCTCTCTGAATCTGAACCTCTGCTGTTTCAGTATTCACAAAAGGGTTCATAACCCATTGAGGGACTTCCAGGGATAACAAAACATCTTTAAAACAGTCAGAAAATTTCATGTGTAAAAGCTCAAGGAGTTGGCAATATTCTTGTGTATCATCAGAGGAAATTCCACCATTCTTTTTAAGATCCGATAAGATTGGAAATTCGCTGAACTCATTCTGACCAAAATTCAGCTCCCACGAAATGATTTTGTTCCAAAAAGAAATAATTAACTTTGTAGTGATCAAATTGAGCTCGTCGACTTGAAGTTGCAAATTAACACTATTAAGTTTTTCAAATAAATCCGTCATGTATGCAACGTCTATCTTAAATTCTATCAATTTCCCTCTCAGAGCTACACCTCTGTCTTCGAGGAACTCAAGCACAGCGTCGAAAAGATTCTAAAACCTTTTGAGACAGGCTTCTTTGGAAACCCAGCGAATCTCGGTGTGTAGTTGCAAACGATTGAATTCTCCATCGTTTTTCTTACACAAATGTCTGAATAATCGATCGTTCAGAGCATTACTGGGAATTTTGTTCACAGAATAGATCAAAATATTGCAAACGGCAGCTGAGATTTTCTCCCCAACTAAATGCTGTCCATGAATCATGCAGTGAATAGCTAAAATATCTGATACTTAACTCTTCAAAAAGGCGATAAGCCCATGATGTTGACCTAGCACTGCTGGCAACAGACCTAATATTCGCAAGAAGAATATTTTTCTCTTTAAAACAATCTTCAACTGTATTAAAAATAGATTCACCTTTGGTATCTACAATCAAGCTTCTTGTAAAAAGCATCTATTGAATAATTTTTCTTTCCTTAACAAACCTGACCTACACCAACAGTAAAGCCTTATTACTTGGCAAGGTTGATTCATCAACTTACTACGGAAAACTACGTCGGATATCAAAAGTTTGCATAAGGAAACTTCAACGTCTTCAGCCATCTCATCAATTCGTCGTCGCACTGCATCATTGCTTAATGAGATATTTTTTAATTAAATTGGATGAGGCTGGATGTTGTAAAACTGTTTCTAAAACTTCCTTGATCGTAGTAAGCCTGAGATAGCAGGTACCTTCAAAAACTTGTCCTTGATTTTCGTGAAAAATGACTAATCTTCATTTTGCTTGTCAGGATGAATTTTTTTGCAAACGCTCCTGCAAACGGGAAGGTTTCATTGCCTCTGTATATGATTCGGTGATGGAGATGTAAGACTTTCAAAAATGAAACAATATGGCAAAGAAACATCCTCTTTAATATTGAAAGATAACAAACCATCTACGAAACTTCACAAACTCCAATTAACAAGTTATTCTTTAAAAACATTAAAAGTTGTTATTAAAAAGAACAATTAAAAACTTAAACTTTTGATTGTAAATGTCGCATTCTGCAGGTGGGCGTCACCGGGAAGAATTGGGATATCGGGACGAAGTCTCGGACGCTGCACAACAACCTCTCTCGAAGGCAAACTGTCATCTGCTTAAATACTGGATTTCAGCCTTTTCACTCCCTGCCTTGGCCACCGGTTGATGCTCCTCCGCCGGTATTCATCCGCGCAGGAACTATTTCGGTTCGTCCTCCTACCTTCGATCTTCGTTCCCATCCTCGATCCTTCTACCTCAGTTTTCCATGCAATCTGAGCTGACGCAACCAACAGCCTCTACAGCCTCATTAGATAAAACTTTGTTAAAAATTAAACACATACGTAGTTGAGAGTTCGACGGCGATTTAAAAAATCTGAACTTCCAAGCACGTGACATTGCCTTGACGACACTTCTTTTTGCTAATCGACATTTTTGGCGGCAGCAAAATACAAACTACGAAAGAAAATCAACTATTTCTCAAAATTAATAAATAATTTACGATACAGAACTAATTCGCTGATGTACCTGGCTAAATAAATACTGAAATCGAATCGAAACTAAGGAGGAAAACGAAAGGAAGCGAACGAAAACTATCATAAGAAACATGGTTCAAGTCAAACATTCATACTGAAAGCGCAAGCATTTCACTTTTCGCCAAATAGCTTGAATGAGTCTGAGTCAAAAACAACTAACCCGTGCCCTGCGCTGGTTCGAATTGGAGAATAAATATAGCATAAGTTCGTTTTATTGCTTGTACAGATGGTGAATTGGATAAATTTATTATATTAATTTTACTTTTTTAATATTAATTTTAGATTAATTTTATTTATTAAATTAATCTTTATTTTAATAATTTTATTTGGGAGTTTCAATATTAAATTTGAATGACAAAACATGCTCATTGCCCACCCCCTACCGCCCGAAACAAGTTCACCGCCCCCCTACTGCCCAAAACAAGTCCACAGCCCCTTAACATACTACTACCGCCATCGTTGGGAAACTATGGTCTAGCTCAGTGGTTTCCAACTGGCAGCCCGGGGGCCGCATCCGGCCCGGAAGCCTTTTTTTGTGGCCCGCGAACTAAAATATTTTAGTTGTCATTTTTTTGCGGACAATTTCCGCAAGAAATCTATATGGGTTTAAAATACTTTTCTCGTTAATAAAAACTTAATTTCTTCGTTTCTGTGAAATTTATCATACCAACGGTGCAAAAAAAATTATTTCTCAGGTTTTGCATCCAAGAGAATATTTATTCAAAGATAAAAATAATCGTGTATGTTGCTCTTTTTTATTTCATTTTTTTTGTATTTTGTGAAGATAATTTAGCATGTGTGTATCAGAAATTTTCCCAAAGAAATTCTCCGATTTAACGTTTTGAAACCACTCATTTTGAACGAAAATATTTACACACACATTCGTAAATTTTAAATGTAAATATCTATTCTCTGGTGGTTGACATTTTGTGTGCTGAACATGAAAGTTTTAATACCAACCTTTTTAAAGTTTTATATCTTAGCAATTCGATATCTGTTGCACATTAATTGATTAATACATGGGTGGGCATTAAAGTTATTGTAGCCCAAATTTTTTAATATGTAATTAAATATTTTTAAAAATCTACTTCTGATTTTAATTTGTAATTCAATACTTTTGTTTTGTACAACTTGGTAAAAATCTGACAGTAATATTTAATGTTCCTTCAAACATAAGAGAGTCCTACATAAAATTTTGATAAAGTTGCAGCCCGCCATTTGATTTGTGTTTTTAATTGTGGCCCCCGGCCTCATGTAAGTTGGAAACCCCTGGTTTAGCTGTTACCCACGACTAAACCGACAGGGAAGTAATTTGATTTCAACTTTAACTATTCTTGAAAGATATTAGCGATATTGTCATAGCTTTTTATGCATTGAATTTTAGAAATGATTTAAAATCAGTCCGGTAGCCATTAAACCACGCAAACTACAGTAAGTATGAGTTCGGAACATTTCTGCATATTAGGCAGCAGAAGCATAAAAATGATTTCTATCCCTGTCTTGTGGTAAGATATAAACTCACACCAATGATCCATTAAGTGATGAACTACTTTCTCACACACCTCTCGAGTCAAAACTTGAGTATCCTAAAATATATATAAACATATATGCTCGTGAAAGGCAAGCTTCGTCACTAATAATTTGTATGATAGTATGCGGAACCAAAGCACCTGCTATGTTTAAAATTTCAAAGCCATTTCTGAATGGATCAAAAATAAATCTAAATAGTTACTTCGTAACAACGTTTTAATTTTTATACAACTGAAAAATTTTTCTAAATAAATACGAGATTTTTTTAAAAGATTGTATAAAAGTGGTCTATAAAAATATATTCAGGAGTTACACTTACATTTATTTTTAACAAAAATGTTGTGTTACGAATTTAGCCGGCATGAAAAACTATGTCATTTAAGAAAGCAAGACACTGTAAACTGTAGAAATATTATCTGTTATGGTATGATTATATGTTATGGCTGTAGAAATATTATCTGTTATGGTTATGTTATGGATGAATAAAATAATGACAGTTTCCAAGACCGAAGAAGCCTTATTAACAGTATCAAGTCGAAATCTTAGGCATTTTACTTACTCTTTGCCCTTTGTATCAGAATTATCGAAGATAACATTTCTTAAATGAAGTATGAAGCATTTGATGGAAAATATATTGACAGCATTGTTTCTTGACAATTGATGTTTTTTTTTAATTATATTTGAAAAAAAAAATGATTATTATACTGATTAAGGAAATATTTGTAGGCAAAGACAGATATTAAGTTTACATGCCAATTTCTTGTAAGTATTACGTTATTCTAGTTCTTTTTTCTTTCTTTATGAAGAATTATGTAAATCAGCGAAAGAAAAAAAACGGATCAACCTTTTATCTTTAAGCGGTTGATCGGATTTTCATTCGGTAAATTGATTTGGTAATATTTAGAGAAATCTCTTAAAATATGCATAACAGTTTACTGTAATTGTGTCGGAATATATTTTTTTTTACCATAAAACTCACTTTTTCTACAGAAACGTATTTTTTCCCATCAAATTCGGATTTATCCTTTTTCAAATAGGGGGAAAGATGGACAAAGTTTTGAAAAGCTGGTTTTCATAGTTTAACCGCTATAATGGTTTAAAAAAAATTGTTACTCAAATGTTATTTTAATGCGTCACGTTTCTCTTCACATCTTTTGAATTATTGGTTAAATTCCAATTATTCTCATGCAAAACGTTGTAAGCCTTCAGCCCAAAGACAAATACGTAATGTTAATAGGGAATTTAAAAGAATTTATACATAATTTTCATTAATTTATTTGTTAATGACGAAGAAAATGAATTGTAAGGTATAAAAATGTTTATATATTCAGACATTTCCTTTTTTTTAAAACATAAATCTAGATTCTCATGAATTTGATCAATAAAAAAACTGCTTATAATTAATTAAAAAAATTAATTACAGAATGGTATCAAAATGACCATTCTGGTACAAAATGACCATTTGGAGTTTACATAGCCAAATTGCAGTGGTTCCCATAATGCATCATTCGAGGTAAGCTATAAATGAAAGAATTAATTCTTAAAAGGAATAATCCTGAGAAACAGAAGGAGTAAGATATTGCCTGATTGAAAACGTCATGCGCTTCAAAAATACGCAAAAAGGAAATTACAGTCAATCCTTTGTTGTTGTTGACATCGGCCATTAAGGCAGAGGGTGTGTGATTAATCTTGTTTTCCAGTGGCGCCATCTATGGCAAAGAATTCGTCTTCTGCCACACTCATACGTCACACCCGTTTACAGGGCGAACCCAATTATACACCCACAGATCGCAATTTTGAACCAGCGAACAGTCAATCTCCGATTCAGTATCCCTAGAGGTGTCGATTTATTATGGGAACATGGAGGACTTTGTGACCCGACATATTTAACATGTACCAGTCACGTTTACTACGCGTGGAGTCTTCGGCCGGCTGGATTCGAAGTCACATTCTCACAAACGTGTGCCCAATCAACCAGACTATCTCGGACAATTAATCCTTACCGTAAAGTTAAGAAAAGCGAGCATTTTTTAAGAATTTTATAGATAGAAAACTGGTAGATAGTTATCTCGTTTTAATTTGATATTTTTCATTTTCTTTTACTATGTATTTAAGTTTTAGATTTTACTTTCAACTGTCTTCATTAAAAATCTCATTAAAACGTTCTTTTCTTTCCACAATAGTACTACTGCATTTAAATTTATTAGTAATCGAGTAACAAATTCATTAAAACGTTTTTTTCTGCAATAGTACTACTGCTTTTAAATTTTAAAGGTATCTAGTATTAGAGTATTTAGAGGTATTAGTAATCTAGTAACAAACTCTTTGAAACGTTTTTTTCCACAATACTACTACTGCATTTAAATTTCAGAGGTATTAGTAATCCAGTTACAAATTCATTAAAAGGATTTTTTCCACATTAGTACTACTGCTTTTAAATTTTAGAGGTATTAGTAATCTAGTAACAAATTCATTAAAATGTTTTTCTTCCACAACAGTACTACTGCTATTAAACTTTATAGGTATTAGTAATACAGTAACAAATTCGTTAAAACGTTTTTTTCCACAAAATTTTAGAGGTATTAGTAATCTAGTTACAAATTCATTAAAATGATTTTTTCAACAATAGTTCGACTACTTTTAAATTTTTTAGGTATTAGTAATTAAGTAACAAATTCCTTAAAACGTATTTCTTCCAGTTATTGTATTTTTTGATATAAAATTCTTGTTAATTCTTTTTATTTTAGTGTTTTAGATTAAGTTATAATAAATATTAAAGAAAGCTTTGTAACAAAGATAAGTTCTTTTTTTCCTGCCGAAAGTAACTTTTGTTATTGAATGTGATTGAAAGGACTTTAATCTTCAGGATGTATAAATTAATAAAACATATCAAGAATCTAAAAATTATGTATTTATGTTTATAAGTGATTGCGAGGATAAATCAATTTCTGCTGTATTATAGGAATTGAGTTAAGCAAATACCGCATTGAGATAACTTCCTTGAGAGTGAAAATATATGCCTTCTTTGTATAAAAAAGTGCTATTGTATTAAGTACAATATTTAATCGTTTGTAAATATGTTTCATAAATTCAATGGTAAATAAAAAGCTGTTTTTTCTTAAAAAATAATTAAAAGTACAATGCAAGAGGTACTTTTAGTAATCTCATTCTAACTTTCATTTAGTGCACGTCGTACATAAAATTAAAAAAAAAAACTTGTCCAGTTTTAGATTTGCTAAGAATTTATAACATTAATAATAAAAATATAATTCTGAATCTACTATTTTTACAAAAAGCAATTTAAAAATCTAATATTCATTTGAATAGGAATTAGTGTATCAGATATATTTTGTATTATTAATGTATTAAATTTGAAATTGTCATACGTCTAGCGTATTATAAAATGTAAATGCTATGTGGCGTTAAATGTTAGGTAAAAATTTATAAAAATAATCTCAAAATAAGTAAAATGAAGATAAGTATAAGACAAGAAAGCTAGTCACATCAATAAACTATTTGAAAGGAAATATTTTTCTGAAAAATGAGAGAAGTCAGCATTTCCGATATTTTTTTAAATTCAAATTACTTAACTGAACCTTTTATAAGGCCGTGGTAAGTATATTTACCACCAATTTTAAAAGTCCATGACAAACTATTTTACCACTTTTAATACTGTTTCGGTAAATGTTGTGATAAATTAGTGGCTAATAAAACTTGTAGAATGAGAACAATTGCTCCCACTCAAAGATAGACCACGAGATAAGTGAAATAGAATTTGCATTTCATATGGAACTTTGAATTTTTGATATGTAGTGGTGAAAGAAAAATACTTAAAATGAAAAATACTAAACTAAAAATAGCTTAAATTTCGTTAACCCTAGAAAATATTTTTTTTACAAAGAGGAGCAAGAGGGCAAGTCTCTGAGTACGTTATTGAAATTTGCGACCGTAATAAGATAATTGTGTTTTCTTTTTCTTAAATCAATTAAATATTCAAAAAAGTATTTTAAAATACTTTTACTAGAAATAGATGACCCATTGAAATGTTAAAATAACGATCAAATAAATCCCCATTTTATTTCGCGCGTATTAGCTCACGAATTTCAATAAAGATTCTTTCATTAGAAAAGTATTATAAAATACTTTTATAATGAGAATAAGTATTATAAAAATGCTCCCATTATAAAAGTAGTTCTATGCATACAAATTAAGCGAACATTAGCTTCCACTTTAAATTAATTAGAACGTGCACATAATTTCTTATATGAATAAAAGTCTTTTTTATGAATATTATATAGTGAATACAAATGATTTGCTCAACCAAAATAAATGTGAATAATGAAATCATGTTAATACCACTAATTACCTTTTTAATAAAAATACCATATGTCCTGAAAGGATGACTAGCCAACAACGAGTCAGTAAAAATTTGGAAATAAAACTTTCTATCAGCAATCAATATCTACGAAAGCCTTGTCTATTTTTCTTTGCAATGATATAAAAAGGGATAAATGAAAGAAATTACAGTATATTAACCTGTTAGCGCCCAGAGTCATATTTATAGGACAGTTTCGTTTTCAGGGCCGGGATAGTCTGGTTGGCAAGGCGCTCAACTCAATTATTTTTTGACCTAACTCTACCTTTTCAGTAAAATATGAATTTAGGTCTTTAGCTTGGCCAGAAAAATTTAAATTTTTAAAATCATTAAAGCCAAAAGGAGGGGAAAAATAATGCTCATGAAAAATTTCAACTATTTCCCGATAAGAATTACAATTTAAGCAGTTATTAACATATAATTTCAAAGCTGAACCTTTAATGAATTTTTGAAAATTTTTAAATTTCCATTCCTTATTTAATTTAGAATCTATAGTTTGTTTCTCGAAATGTTTGAGCCAGGCTGTGAATTGAACATCAATGTCGGGCTCAAAGATTAATATATCTAGATATTATCTTGTAGTACATATCTATATTGAGTTATATAAATAACTAGTGGGCCGCGACCCCTGCTCGCTAACGCTCACCAACCCCCGAAAATTGCTACGCAATCTTATATGGTTTGCTAATCAAACCAAGCTCGCTTCGCTCTCTACTAACTTAGGTACATTGCAAATGCACAAAATTCTAAGAATTCAAAACAATAATTCAAATCCATATAAAAACTTTTTTTTCTTCAAAAATTACATCTTTTTAGTAAATACTAAGTCATTAAAATAAATTTGAATTCAAATAAATGACATGTAATTCGTTAAACCTTTTAGAAATGTGCTATAGTATAATTTGTGATATAAATAAAAAATCGTCAATTAAATTCGTGAAAAAAAGCGCTTTCGACAAAATACTAAAATAGAGATCTATCGACAAAGACTACTCACTTCTGCCTAGCTTAATAGTATGAGATTGCCGCAGCTGATGCTCTCTGTTTATTTCAGTTTCCATTTTTAAAAGCGCTATATGCTGAGCCACCTCAGCTAGATTTGGCATGTGACATTTTTAGCGGCAATCATTGGTCGATTCGCCATGTAAGAGAAATAGTAACGTAAACAAAACAAAGCAAACGTTGCCACCGGCGGAAAAGAAATACAGCCAAAATTTGGGAGCCACGTAAGAGAATTATATATATTAGATGCTGAGGAGTTCATATACAAAAATAAATTAATTGTTTATAACTGTAGACCGTGTAAGGTATACACGCATCCAGTTGAAAGGTTTCCAATATGCGTAATTCGTGTCACGCAAAGGGACAATGGCCGTCGTTACCCTTATTGTACTACACCCATATTATGTTACCCATAATGTGTGTATTATAAATCATAGATATTTCATTATCTACTGCAATAAATGCATTAGTTATTATTACGATAAACCGTGTCACCTTCAAATTTAGTTTTTAAAAAAATCGTAAACATTTGCAATTCGAGTTGAGGAGGATAAACGACCCGAGTCATGCTTAGCCATAATAAGTTATAAAGCATAACGAATTAATTATTTTCTATAATAAAGTACCGTGGTATATACTGTATAAATTGTAGTATAGTGCTCCAAAAAAGGGGGGGGAAAAACGGACCATCTTGAATAACTTTTGATTATGTGAATTCATGTTTTTGGTCTCATTTAATGGTTCGAGGGGGTGACCTTAAATATGCTGATTAATTAGTGCAAACGATATTTCACGTTACGAAATCATACAGAAAAACGTACTTTCTCTGAATAAACATAACTTTTAATCGACGATTTCGGATTTCTGACCCCCAAAATATAGAGGGTTGCCACAATTTGCGAAATATGGTCCCCATAGTTTGCCAGAAGAATAAATCAAAGCTTGGCCACCGTAACGTTAATTTTACTTTTTACGTATTTCACCATGTCTCGAGAACTTCTTAAGCGAATTGAAAAAATTTTCCACACAATTATAAAATTCGTTTATCCAGCAACTACAATTACATACAGAAAGTAAATTTTAGTGAATAGTTATTATTTTATTTAAGAATAGTCGAAAAAATTTGAATTGTAAGGAATAAAATTTTTTACATCATTTTAAAGTATTTCTACTGCACATGCAGTTATTCTTAATTTTCAGAAGGTTTTAAATTAGAGTAAATATGAGTTGTTAAATATGAGTTGTTAATTTGAGTTTAACATTGAAAACACCCATTTTTACTCTGTCCATATTCTTACCACGCATTCTGGGCTATGTTAATTTCCTTAAACACGCATTTTGAGTAGTGTTCTGATTGAAAAGCCCAGCTTTTTAAGGTTATGTTACTGATGACAAATCAACAATTTAATTTAATGCTACTATGTTACTTAATTGTTTATTTTTTTCTTTAGAATACGTAATAGATTTTTCCCCTTTTTATTACAGAATCTAAGGGTATGAGGGCAAAAACCGTTAAAAACTGCAAAATACTAATTGGCTGTTTCATTATACAATTTCTGGTATCTGGTGCAACTAGACTATCTTCGATATATTTTGTGGAATCTATAACTCGTTATAATGTGGACAGAAAACAAGCATCTTTTCCTTTTGTCATAACATTAATGGTAAAAAATCTTGCAGGTGAGCATGATTTTATTAGTTTATTGATTACATGTGTATAATGAACAAGCAAAATATTTGTCAACCTGGTGATTAATATTCTGTTTATTAAGCTTGGCTTTCATATAAACGAGGAATCATGTTAGAATTTTTACCAACTTGCGAGATCTGAAAGCATATTTAAAGTAAGTGTTCACAATAACAGGCAATATGTTAGTATAGTGAGCAGCTTGAAAGGACAAAAAATTCGATGGAGGGAAGAATATGTGCAAATAATTAAAAATCAAGGAGAATAAAACGGTTTATGTCCATGAAAGTTGATTCTGGAAGAAAAAAACGAATTTCAAGGCTGTTTGGACCCGGTTTTTCTAAACACGGCAAATCATGATTGCGTAATAACTTTTGGTTCCAGTCCGAAGAATCGATTTTCCAAGTTATTGATTTGCCAAAACTTGATATTCCTTAAAATGTAACAAATGGTGATTCAATTGTCATTTTTATGAAAATGGACATAAACCTTTCTTTTCCCTTGGTCTTCAATTGCAAATGATGCTCATTATAGAACATTTTAAATGCTTTAGTTGTTGAATATAGAAATAACTTCTTTCAATAGCTAATAATTTTTTTTTGGTCTGTTTACATATATTTTTTTGTCTATACAACTTACTACATTTTTATTTAAACAATTTTATTGCCCTATAATTTTGATTCGTTTTCCCCATTAAGAAAATATCGAAAGACGCTTGTGGCTTGCGAGTTTCGTTTTGTTTGCGATTGTGAACATTATTTTGCCTTACAGCAACAGAATTTTACGATATTATCAATTATTATAGAATAAATTTTATTTCTAATTGTAATAAATCCCTGAGGCGAGATGAGACACAATGGTTAAAACACAGAGCTGCCATTGTGTAGCACCGAGGATCTATCCCCAGTATTGTCTTGAAATCCATACCCAGTTTCAAATCGATGGGTACCAGCTAGTGTGGAAATTTTAAACACGTTGTTCACCACCACACCGTTGGTCTCTAAATTGTGAAGCCTTAATCTCCGTCACTCCCTAGGCCAACACTGTTGCCGGGTTTTTTTTTTAAAAAATAAATCTTTAGAAACATCGAGTGTTTCGTAAGTAAACAAGAAACAAATGTCTTAAAGAATATATTTTAAAGACAATTTAGTACAAAATAATTAAAAATCTCTTCCGAACTATATTATTAGCTCAAATTCATAAATTTTTCTAGGTCCAATTATGGGATTCCTGGAACAAATAATTGGTATGCAATGGATTATTACCATTGGATGTGTAATGGCCACATTAGGAATTGGAGGCTGTTTCCTTGCTGAAGAAATACTGGTTATTACAATCTTGTGGGGAATAATACTAGGTAAAATAACTAAATTACCATTAAGACATTTTTCTTTTTCTAAGTGAAGAAAATCTTTTTAAGTTACACTCAATATTAAGCATAGAAAACATAAACAACTCACTACATTACATACGTCAATGTCTAATGAATTAGAAACTATTTAATACAATGTATTTAGTGAAGTTTTAAGAATCACTTACAATTGCTGAGGAATTTAACCAATAATCATACTAGTCATTCAATGCTATGTTCGTAAAAACCATTGACTGCTTGTTGAACCAATTGCTGTGGCACATCTTGAGTTCATCGTTTGTTTGAAACCAATGTCCCGCAATTTTTTGAGCTTTTTCACATGATTCAGATTTGAACAGATAGGAGAGGGGGGCTCAAAATTTCCTGACAGATTCGTTAACGTCTTGGCTGCTCATTAGGTCTATCTTTATCGTGCAACAAGTTGGCAAGATTAAAGGGTAGTTTTAAACTGATTGAATTTCTGAATTTTGTAAATATTCACCAAACACCGCTGATCATTAACTCTAGAAAACCGGCAGAGTCATCATTTGCAATGGGCGATTTGCGATCGTTTGCAATTGTTTCTCTATTTTGCAAGCTACTTTCAGTAAAGGACTGTATGGACCGGCAACTTTTTTTTAATCATTGCTAGTTACTTTTCAATTTACGAAAGAAATCCTTACTAAAATTTACTAACCCTAAAACGAATTTTCCCCGCTAACTTGGTACAACAATTAAAAATGCATTGACATTTTCGACGACATCGATTAACGATGATTGTGTAAAAGCAGCAAAAACAGCATACACTTAGAAATGAAGCTTTCTTTTTCTGACTTATCTGCAAACATTTAGTTGTATTTTATTATATTTTAAAAATAATTTCGTCTCAAAATCACGATTTTGAAGAAACGTGAACTCCTGTATGCTTGATGAAATTGCTTTTTTAACTCTCCTCAGCTTCCAGCTTCTGCTTTAAATCCGTGTGTACTATATGACAATATGGTATTGGCGCTCAGTTGGCGAACAGGCTTCTTTGGTTTAATGACTCTAATGCTTCTTTCATTTTAAGTTGTATTTCCTATTCAAATGTAATAATATGTAATTAAATATAATGCTTTGATGAAATTTGTATCCTTAAACGACTTGAAGATAATAGTTTTCTTGATTTGGATAAATGTTCGCTTGGAGCATTTTTCTCAGGAAATTGTTTAATCAAAAATATAAAATCTTCGCGAATTTTAACTATTCATTTTTTTAACAGTTTTGTCACAGGTTGGCTGGCCACCTGTAGTTACCAGACTAAACCTAACAGAGTAGTCGAGGGAGATAGTTATATTATAACAACTTTTAATAATACTATAAATAGTTATACACATATATGTCTTATATTTTAATAAATTATTTTTGATTGGATCTATGTCACTTCTATAATGATAACTCAACATCACTTTAAAATAACTTTTACTTTATTGGTCGATCACATTGAAGAAGTTTTACACAAAAAGCTGTGAAACAAATTTTGTATTATTTCTTTTTCAGGCCTAAGCTATGGATTTGCTCATAATATGCAAGCTCCACTTTTAAATCAACATTTTAAGAGAAATAAAAACAAAGCTAATGGCTTTGTTTTAGCAGGAAGTTCCCTTGGAGGGGTCTTGCTCCCAGTTATAGCGACAACTTGCATACAAACCTATGGGACATCTGGTTCTTTTCTTATTTTATCTGCAATTATAGCACATTCAATACCAGCCAGTCTCTTAATAGAAAATCCTACAACAAAACCGTCCTATAGCATCCCAAAAGAAAATATTGTAGTAGTAAATAAAAGTTATAGTAAAAATAGTCTGAATAAAAGTGATAGTAACAAAAGTCTTGTCAATATAATGAATACTGCTGATTATTTATGTATGGAACAAACCAACAAATGTCAATCAAGTTCTAAGGTGGAAAACGATAATTATGAAGGTCTCAGTACTTCAAATTCATCTCCGGATAACAAAACTCTTACCGATATTCAAAGCACTGATGATTATTTAAAAAATGAACAAACCCACAAATGTCTGACAAGCTCCAATGTTAAAAAAGTATCTTCTGAAGATCACAACACTTTAAATTCACCTCTGAGTAACAGTAGGAATGATAAAACTCATGCTAATATTTCAATAACTGTCGATTATTTAAACATGGAGCAAACTTGCATAGGTTTGCCAAGCTCTACAGTTAAAGAAATATCTTATGAAAACATCAGTACTTCAAATTTATCTCTGAATAACAGCAAGAATGGAAAAATTCATGCTAATATTTTAAATACTGCCGATTATTTAAATATGGAGCAAACTTGCATAGGTCTGTCAAGCTCTACAGTTAAAGAAATATCTTATGAAAACATCAGTACTTCAAATTTATCTCTGAATAACAGCAAGAATGGAAAAATTCATGCTAATATTTCAAATACTGCCGATTATTTAAATATGGAGCAAACCCACAAATGTTTATCTAGCTCTACTGTTAAAGAAATATCTTATGGAGATATCAGTACTTCAAATTCACCCCTGAATAATGGTGTAAAGAATAGAAGCCTTTCAAAAATTTCAAACGATGATAATTATTTAAGTGAGGAAAACACACAAAAATATCGTTCAAGCTCTGCTGTTGACAGTATATCATCTGAAAATTTCAACATGTCTAATTCATCACTGAATAGAACTCTTGACAAAAGAAAACAACATACAAATGAGTTGTCTAGTTGCGATTCCCCGTTTTCGAACTTAAATAAAGTCATAAATGAAGAAGAACGATACAAAAATGTAGAAATGTTTAGTAAAATTAAACTTGCGTCTCGTAATTTCCGAATATTTATTGATCCAACTTTTATAGTCATTCTCATTTTTAACGGATTAGTGGCTGCCGTTATGGTAGCTGTGTGGACAATAATTTTAGACTTTGTTCGCGATAAAGAAGTCCCCGAAAGTTTAGAAATATATTATGTCATACTACTTCCGTTAACTGACATACTTGGACGCCTAGGTTCAAGATACATTGCTGACAAATACTTTTTGAGCTTCCCGCAGTTGTGTTTTATCACTTTCTTTATAGATGCAGTGGCATTATTTTTAATCGTTTATGTTAATAACTTTATGCTTGTCATGGCTTGTGAAATAGTTATATCAATTTGCTTTGGAATGACAGTTATTCTACAAATTACTATGGTGGATAACTACATGGATGAAGACTTAAAAACAATGGCCCACAGCTGCAGAGTGATGCTCTATGTTCCACTTAGCCTTATAATATCTCCAATGCTAGGTAGGTTTATTTCTATGTGTTATTTCATGAATTACTTAATACGTGATACCGATAGCGTTGCATACACCGTGCAGCGCCATCTGTAGTAAAGTAGGCTCTCTTGATACACTCACTCACCAGACGGCAACGGGGAGAGAGCTCCGAAAGATGTTCTAACTATAATTGTTTTGTGTTGCAACTAAAGACAGACGGGGTAACGTTTTAGACAACCAACGAGATTACTAAATAGTTACGTTTTTCTTTTTTTCTTTCTTAAAATGATTCCGTGGCGATTCCACAATTTCCGTAACAGTATGAGCAGAACTTTTAGAGAGTTTGCATTCTGCCGAACTTTAGGGAATAAATTTTTTTTTTCACTGTAGAACTTTTTAGGGATAAAGAAAGTTTACTTCCTCCATGTTAACCTACGGAGAATTATATGGCTGGAATTTTTTTAATTTATTAATTGATTAAATGATATTTTTCAATAACACTGGGGAACAATTTTTTTGTTGCACTTACACAAATAATTGATCTCACCTGATTCGGGTGTCGAATTTCAAGTCTAAAATTAGTTTTGCTCCTGAGGGTACAGATTCGTTTTTAAAAATGACATTTTCACTCTATTAATGTACAAGTTTTAAAACGTTATATGTAACAAAGAGTCGTGTAAATGTTGCGACAAAGTTCTAGCGAAGTTAGGACAGATCATCAGGATTAAAATTGCATTGGAATATCCGGAAGTGACGTCGTACGCGGATAGGAGTGCCTACCTTTTATGGGATGCACATGGAAAAACTGTTAATATTAGGTAAGCGCCTCTAGTGGTGTATGACGATATTTTAGAACATGGGTTCCTACTTAATGTTAATCCAGATGGCGTATCTTAACTGCTCTAGAAGTTTGCCTCAACATTTATGCGACCCCTTGTTGCATATTACGTTTTTAAACTTGAACATTTCGACAAAAAATAGACTAAACCGATTGCAGATTTGCAATCAGCTATCTGAAATTATCTAAGATCTGTTTAAAAATCTCATGCAACAGTGAAAAAAATTATTATTCCCAAGTGTCATTTATATTTCACATTATTCACTGAAAAGTGTTCTATTGGACCTAGTTAACGAATTTTAAATTTTATGGTTTTAAGTATACTTAAATCTTTTTAGAAGTACTTTTTAGAAATATTTACAAACTTAGGATTTAAAAATTGGTAATTAACTTTCATACAACGTACTTCTTTAAATAAATTTAAGCAAAAATTATTCACAAATATATATAAATTAATGAATAAATAAGAATATTCCAGATAAATAATTCCCCGTAAATTAACATAAAGGAGTTAAAAAAAATTTCTTCTAAGTGTTTTTAAGACCAAGTAAATGAAATGTCCTTACCTATGTTTTATTATTATTAACACTATCTATAAATTCACCTTCTATATTTATAAAGTTAAGATTCTATTATTAGATAGAAATAAACTATAAATTTGTAGTAAAAAAAAGCACGTGCAAAAAAGCCCTATCTAGTGTCTGTTGAAACGCTTTTTTTTTCAAAATTCCTATTTATTTGGAAGCTACTGCAATTTTAAGCTTTTTTTTTCTTTGAAAATATTTAATTATCCATTGTTGTAAGAAAAATTATCTGTCTCGTAAATTTCATTTTATGAGCTCCTGCTGAATTTACAGTGTCAAAAGTAACAAAACAAAAATGAATAAATATAAAATGAGGGAAAGATTAGATGTTGCTAGATATAAATCATAACATTTATATCAAAATTTTTAAAAACATAAGGACAAAAGAGAGATAAAAACTGTTTCCAATGCGAACTATTACATGATGTAAGGTTATCTTTTCCATATTATTGTATCGCATTCTCTGTATTCCTAAGTTTAAATATTTTTTCGAGTGCATTTGATTATTTTTCAAATCCAGTTATCCTTTCATTTCGTTTCGATTAATATATTAATTAAATGTACTAACATAGAATTATAATAACATATTTTGAATAATTTTTATAATGTATAATGTAGTGTGTTTATTATATAATGTATATTTTCGAAGCAAAACCCTTGCAGCAAAATAAATTGGGCTCTCATTGAACCAATATTCACGAATCTTGGCTGAATAAAGTTTCAAAAGTATATTTACCAATATTGGCCCTATATAGGATTGTCAGATTCACCGGATATTTTATATTCATTATTCAGCCACTATAGGCCCTATATTGGCAGCATGTAGGTCGATAATTTATCGATCGGACGATTTTGTAATATTGGCCCTATAAACGGCAAATATTCTCCCAATGAGGTGAACCGGGTTCGAATTCAACCGATGGCTGGTCGATACGAATTCCACACCAGGATAGCATCGACCACAGTTCTGACATAAAAAATATAGTCAGTGGTAAACGGATCATGGGTCCTCCTGCCGTCAGGCTAACTTTGGTTTTTTTTCGTGGTTTTCTTCTCCGTGTAACGCAAATGCGGGTTAGTTCCGTCAAAAAGTCCTCCACGAAGGCGAAACAAACATTGTTCTATATTCAATTAAAAATATAATATTAAGGGTCACATGATTGTCATTACTGAACGAACCTGCAGGCATCTTTATGTGCTGAAAGAGTAAACTAAATTTTCTCCTAATTCGGATGCAAAAGCAAAGATCAAATACTAGTAGGTAGATAAAAATATCTAAAAAAAAAGTTTACAAAAAGGTTTCAACATTCTGATTTCTTAAATTTTTTTTATTAGTTAATTTAAACTTTCTTTACTAGAAAGTATTATTAAATCGAATATTAAATTAAATAATATATTAGAACAAATGCTGGTTAGTTTCATCAAAAAGTACTCCACGAAGGCGAAATTTCTCCCAATATTTGATCCAGGAGTTCCCTTGTCTACTGAATTAGCTTCAAAATTACAAGGCTACGGAGTCCACATTGGTAGCTGTAAACTCCAATTTGGGTCGGCTGTTCAACGACGGTTATAAAATAAATATTGGTCCCTAGTTGGTCCCATATTGAGAAAGTTTAAGCCCATTTGGGGCCAAGGTTAAAGTGTTTGGTAGGGAATAATTTTTTTTATAGACTTTAAGGGAAATTTTTTTTAAGAAGATCAAAAGGGAAAAACAGTTTATGTCCATTAAAGCCGATTGTGTAAAAAAGAAAACGAATTTGTGCAATCACAGGAACTGATTTTTTACATCTAAGTCCATCTTTACTGAGTAATAACTCCCGGGGGTGGTTGAAGCATCGGTTATCCTAGTTATTGATTTACCAAAACTTAGTCATTCCCAAAACGCAATAGATGACAATCGAAGTAACTTGTATCATAATTAACTTGTGACTTGTATCTTAATTTTTGTAAAAAATGGAATTAGAACGATCTTACCCCTTGATCTTTAATCATGCATGAGATGAAGCCATGTCGTTGACGGGTGAAGCGAACTTTAAGAAAACAGAAATGATTACCTGTTATAATTTACTATTTTGAAACAACTAACCTCTTTTTCATATAATATCTACTCACATGATTTTATTTTCATTTCTTTTAGGTTATTTCAGAGGTGGTTTTGGTTCTTATGATTATGTATTCTATATTTTGAGCGGGGCTACATTATTTTGCGGCTGCTCAGTATACCTTCTCCCATATCTGGTAAAAAGAAGACACTCTTCAAAGATAACATATACCTAAAATGTTTCTGATGCATTTAAACGAGTAAGAACTCTAATTCTGAAAGTATGCAAGTAGTCTGACGATTCAACCGATAAATGAAAACAGAATTTTTTTTCATAGTTATAAAATTTATGTACATTTGAAAAAGTAAATATGAATGATAATATTTAGGATTATATAATTTCTTTTTTACTTTTTAAGATCTTAAACTTCGCAATGAAGTATTTTATCTATCATTTGTGTCTGAGTTGTCGTTATTAAATGTTAAGAAATAGACAACTCATTTAATTAAATAAATATAGCAACCGTGATAATCATAGGAAGGTAATATAATACCACAATTTGGAAGGCTGAAGGTCAACTAAAAGTAAAACTAGAATGAGGGATGAGAATATATCAGGAAAAGAGAATGGAGATAATAATAGAGAGTAGAGATAATAATAGTGAATAGAGATATAATAGAGAATAAAGATAATAATAGTGAGTGGAGATAATAATAGAGAGTAGAGATAATAATAGGGAATAGAGATAATAATAGAGAATACAGAATAATAATAGAACAAAGAAAAAGTCTTATTTTTATTTAGTATAGGACAATCAGTGGGTGATTTTCACAATTCTTTTTATTAATGCAGGTAATGTGCTCAAACTTTTCAAAACTTATAAAGCCTATGTACTTAAATGAATCTTTATTTATTAATTCTTTGCAAATAAGTAGCTACGTTCTTTGGTTTCGCTTTTACAATTTACTGTTCGAAATTGCAGAAGCAATAGCGGCGAGCTCCAGCATTTCTTCGTTCTTCTTTGTCATTAATTACATAGTATGAAATTAAAATATCGATTACACTGAGGGAAACAACTATTTTTTGTTTTCTGTTTCCTGAGATTTTTTTTACAGAACTTAGATATTGCTGATTTCAAATCTGCAATCGGTTTTTCTCTCCAAGCTGCAATTTTTTAAACGCAATTTTTGGTCGAAATATACAAGTTTAAAAACGTTATGTATAATAGGGTAACGCATAAATGTTGAGAAAACTTCAAGAGGAGTTATGATATATCATCAGGAATAACATTGCATAGTAACCTAATATGAATACCTAATATGAATATGACGTTTACCTAATATGAACATTTTTTTTTCTTGTGCTTCCCATTAGAGGGAAGTGACATTTCGGATCAATTGCAAAAACTAAAAATTACCCTAAATTTTCCACAAAAAGTAAAAAATTGAAAAATCAATTGCATATTGCCTACTAAGTTATGATACAATAATGAATACAAAAACTTAACATGCTTTTTTATTTTGAAATATAAATTGTTTTAAATATAAGACTTTGGATAACAAGATAGTGTACGATTTAAGCGAACAATTTAAGCGAATTTCTTTTAAACTTTGCGAGATTAAAGATTAAAAACATTGTTTGATGAAAAAAAAAAGTAAACGTGACATGTAAATTAGCTTCCAGTTTTTTTTCTTCGCATATGTATAATCATATAATATATAATAAGTGCATTAAATCATATCGGTCTTTATCCCTTTGAAGTTTCATTAATATTCCATGTAAAAGTCAACCACCACTATTGTGACAGCTGATTATTACTCCTAGAATAATTACATTATTTTTGAACTTGTACTTGGCAACTAGGGAATCTGGATAGTTTTGGGTAATAATATCTAATACTTTGCAATAAAATCGTATCTAAATATTTGTATGCGTATGTGTATTCCATGTACCATTTGAAATAAAATACTTTAAACATGTGATAATTATTTATTTTTTCATGGAACATTTCATGTAAGGTTCTTCCAATGACAAGTGGATAAGTATTACAGCATCAGATATTTTAATGATTGCAACGTTACCATTCAGGATTATGACGAAGGATAAGAAAGAGGTGTACACCGTAGACAGCGTAGAACTGATTTATCGAGTCACATGAGAGTATTTAAAGTGAATGCATTGTCGTTGCGTCCAGAACTTAGCAACGCAAAGTAGTATGATTTGTAGTGGTAGAAACACCATTCTTTTAATCGTCAGATAAATTACTGTGTAAAAGTAATCGCAACTTCTTGTAAGTTGAGATCAACAGCATTAATAAATTAAGTGGCCTTTTCTTGCCTTGGATCTTTGTAAATCCAATATTTATGTACGTTCTTACGAAAACTTTGTCTTAGATACGAAAACTTTGTCTTAGATACGAAAACTTTGTCTTAGATACGAAAACTTTGTCTTAGATACGAAATGTTTGTCTTAGATAGTGTTTGCTTTAAATGGAAACCATTTGACGATGAATGTTGACATTACATTCACCTCCTACCTTTAAAAATGGTACTTTTTCTTGTTCCGGATGCGTTGCATCCAGACTTTACATTCTCTTAAAACGTTCTCTTGTGAACTGCTTAATCAGTTATACAAAATCCTCTTATTTTGACACTGTATTTTTTACACTATCACTTTTCATTTGGATAATCTTATCAAAAATCTGGTTTACCAAAATATGAAAAAGGCATGAATGACGGTTTAAATGAATAAATAAATATATGTGTAACATTGCAACAAGAAAAAAAACAAGCAAAATTTTAAAATAAATTATAATAAAATTGTAAGTTCAGTTACAGTTCAAACAGCTTTTGCAATGTTCAATAAATCTGTTGCACGATACAATGTAAATTGGGAAAGATTTAGTTGACAAATTGACATGACACAGACAAATTGACCTGCATTGTCATACATTGACAGTTGTCATAGTATCCTCTAAAAATTGAACAGTGGCAGCTAATTCAAGTATTAAAAGTTTACCTTTTGATATTTTTTTGTAATTAAATTAAAAACTAAATTATTATTAAATAATAATACTTAAATAATAATACTAAATAGGTATAATATAATAATAAATACTTAAATAATAAGACTAATATTTTTATTCTTTATTGATTTAAAATCTTAAATAGCATTTTTTTTTTGTATTTATTACTTTAAAAATTGTTTTACATTTACCGATGATATGATTTGCTATAAAATAATAACATAAGAGTTTAGCATAAGATTTGTTATAAAATTAACTACAACTTATTAGTACACTTATTGTATATAATGACCAAAATAATTGTTAAAAGTTACAAATTTATTGCTACATGTTTTTGCATAGGTTGATGAAAAAGATGAAAAACATTTTTACTTTTGTAATTTATTGTCGGTCTTTCAAATCTCTAAAAGCTTTAAACTTCATTGATAAGTGTGAGAAATCACAAATCCTGAACATTTCTAAACTTATAAAATGATTCTCTAAGTATCTTTTGAGAAAGATAAAAAAAAAATGTGTTAGTATAGAAGTGTTTCCATTATTTTGTCCAATCTCGGTAAGACTGTATTTAAATGATCTCATTCAAAAATATATAACCTACTACATACAATAAGATAAATCCAATTTTCATTTTCTTGAAACTTTTCTTCGCCTCCATGATGCTACGATAGGTGTAAAAGTTACAAGAATGGCACTTAATACACAAGAAATAGCGATAATGTAAAGTACCCAGTTGTAGGATCCCAATGTACCTCGAAAATATCCTGAAATTTAAATTATTATCATGAATAGTTAATGACGAATAAACATTTGAATACAAATTCTACAAAAATAAAGTTTAAAGTTCAACCATAATATTTGTACCTGATATGACAACCATAAGAAGAAGTTACATTTCTTTTCAATTTGAACAGTAGTAATGTGTAGTAAGATTTATGAAGAATGAAATTCAGGATGATATGGGTCATTCTCACGAAAACTGTCATTTTTTAGTTCATAAAATCTCAAAAAAGTGAAGTGAATAAAAAGCTCTGAAACTTTTTACATTAATAGAAATATGTAATGACATTATAAAGAAAGTATACATCCTATAAATTATACGTAATATTTAAATTAATTAATTTTTTAAATAATTAATTTATAATTAATTAATTTAAAATAATTAATTAATAATTAAATAATAATTAATTAATTAAAAATTAATTTTCCGATTGATTTATTAATTATCCAATTAATTACAAATTAATTGGATTATGAGACAAATACAATAACTAATAGTCTGCATTGACGTAATAAAATACCGATTTTTCTATATATTGAATTATTTTTTATCTCTCACAGGAC